AAAAAAGTAAAATGATGCATATTTCAATCGTCCTTTTTTTTTTTTAATCAAACATTAGCAAACTTACATATTATGACAATTCAATTTTTTTTTTTAGTCGCAACATTAGCAAACTTACATATTATGACAATTCAAATACTAAATTAACAAAAAACAAAAAAGAAATTTAATTTAATTACCGTGAAAATTTTTAAATTCAATTTACATTTGCTGGTTTGCAAACAGTAAATAAGTTTGTATTTCTGAATTTCTAATTACATAGTTACGATAGTATGATTTATAATTTCAAGAAAAAATAGTGAAATTTTTTTTGGTAAATTTACTTTATGCTAAAAATAAATAAACGAAACAATATATTTGAATAAAGTAAGTTAGGCCAAAAAAAAGTACCGAATGTTTTCCTTTTTTTAAATTTATTTCATTCAAATACATAGTTTCTGACTTTTTCCTTTTTTTTTTGGTTAGATTTCTTGATAAAGTAATTATTAGAGATAAATTTTCGCATATAAAATATAATGGTATGAATAGTGCAGTTTTTTCTTTTTAAGTTAATATAAAAATCAATTATTTATTGTTTTAACTAATTAAGTTAAAAGTTATTCATTACTCAAGTATTTAAGTTAAATCATATCTATAAAATATAAGAATATTATTTCAAAGCATACAACGATTGATGCCTTTGATGGGTTGCATAAAATTATTAAATGTCAATGCTTTTATATAACATCGCCATGCAACTGCAGTTATACTAACTGCAACATTTTAATTGTCTTGCTCGTGTCCATAAATTTGCAATTGTTGACAATCATTTTCAAATCAACGAATTTCCACATATTCTATATTATTATGACTTCTCATAGTACCACAGATGACCTTATCATCCGTACGTGTTACAAGGGTTACACGTTATGTTTACGCTTATTGTTGCATATTAGTTTATTTGTGGTATATGCAGCAAAGTAAGTTTCATCATTTCCATCCTTTTTTTATCAAAAGTACACATAAAGGTATTGAAAAAAAATTGTTAAAAATTAATTCCCAATTATTTATTCATTTCTATTTCTTTTTTTCTTTGAAAAAAAATATTGAGCATTAATTTTCACTCATTAATTCATTCTTATTGCTTTTTTTCCCTTCTAAAAATTATTGTAGATTAATTTCCATTCATTAATTCATTTCTATTTCTTTTTTTTCCTGAAAAAATTGTTACAAATTTATTCCCACTCATTCATTCATTCATTTCTTTTTCTTTTTTTTCTATCAACAATTAATAAATGAAATTTAAATAAAAGAATGAATTTACAAAAATTTAGCAAATTTACGTAAGTTTTTTAAGCATTTTCTAATGGTAATAGTAAATTGATGTTATTTTTAAGTCGGAGGATATGAATAAATTTAAAAAAAAAATAATGATTAAATCTCAATTAAAATCATTTTGAAATTCAATTTTTAATTTGCAGTAATCGTCTAATTTTATAATTTTACATCAATTGGCTAGGCAAATGCCTGTATACTTTCGCAATTATTGTTTGCATCTCACAGTAAGATGATTGAGCGTTTTTTTTTTGGCGCAAAAATGACAATTGTGATTCATCATATTTTTGACACTCATCAACTTTGTATAAAATGATAATTCGTTTAATATGATTCATATAACTCATTTAAAAATTTGAAACTGTCTAAATCTTCAATTAAATCATTCGTATTCTTTTGCAGAGTATTTATCAATTCATGATTTGATAGGCATTGATAAAACTAATCGATAACAGTATGCATCATTTGATAAATGCTACAATTCAAATATGACTTTATTTGTTATCAACTTATGTAAAATTCACACTATTAAATTATTCCATACAAACTTTTATTCAACATCGAATAAATAATTGAAATATTTGCAAACAATCATAATTGAACATATAACATACTGCTGGATAATAATTACAATCATGTTAATTATGCATATTAGTGATAATCATTATTTATCATCATTTCTTTCACCTAGTTAATATCACTTATCATACAATGAACTAATATTAACATTTTGTCGTATAGATTATGTATATGACTAACTGAAAATTTTGGATATTGAAAAAAAATTTTTAATTACAATGTTTTTGTAATAAATTCAATGCTAGCCAATTATAACATTTTTTTTTATATTGGAAATTTTTCATTATTAATTATTATAATCATAACTTAGTTTTGTTTTTTTTATCATTTAATTTCAAATTCAGTAGTTTTCGTCACTTCGTTCTCTTTTTATTTACTTTAAATTTTATTTAATATATCAAATCCAATATTTAAATATCATTGAATTCAATGGTTACATATTCGAAATTCAATTAATTTAGATACGAGCACCAGATGAAACAAATGTACCAGTTTGTTTATTGATAGTTCAATGGAGGAAAAATGGTCGAGAAAAAAAAACCCATGTTATCAAACCCGGGATTATCAGTGGATTGTGTTTTTTCCTTTTTTTTTGTGGTATTTAAATCACCCATGAAATTTAAATAAAATGATCGATTATTATCTTCATGTTAATACAGAAAAAAAATTAAAAAAAAAAATTAAATAAAAAAATTTAATCACTCAATGATTAAAAGTTAAAAATCACAATATTTGCATATGTAATCATCGAATTATCATCCAATATTGTAAAGTTTAATAAATTTACTCAATGATTAGGAATCTTTTCTGATTTTTAGACTAATTAATTATCTAAATATGATATGCACAAAATAACATTGATTTTCAACTTACACTTATCCTTTTTTGATTGTTAAAATTTTTCAAATAATATCATTTATCAATTTATCACTACATTTCTATAAAACTATGTTGATTTTTTCTACAGATTGCGAATTTAATTTCATTGGAAAAGGAAAAAAACATACAGTATGCATTAAAAAATCGTTTATTCAACTTAGTTTGATCATTTACATATATTTTGCAATTATATTCATCCAATAGAAATACTTGATTTCTTCTTCTTTTCCTTTTTTTTCTCTCTTTTTCATCCCGTAACTTTATCATAATCAGCCACAAATTGCTTATATTTTGTCATTACTTCTTCATTATCAGCAAAAATTTTATATTTATCAATGAAATAAAATAACATCACTCGATGCACATAGAGATATTGCTAAAAATTGTGATAAAATTACAATTATTATTTGTTATCAAAGTGAATATGATCACAGCCTATTATTTTAATAGTAAAGAGATTTATTTAATAAATGTTAAAGTGATTAAATTATAATTATTGATTTATTGTCAGATATATGAAATTTAGAACCATCTAATATTACATTATTATATGTAAAATTTATTTTTAAAACAAAATAAAAAACTGTCGATGAAAGTTTTGGAAAAAAGTAACTATTGGAAATTAATTTGCAATTATTAATTCATAAATTTTTAATTATACTTTTAGCAATACAAACCATATCATTTTGTATTGTAAATGGTCGCTGATTTCGTAGCTCTTTGAGAATTTTATCCATTGATTCGCATGGGATACCTTGTTGAAGTTTCTCCAAAATATATTCAATTGCTACAATTGCACCAGTTCGACCAATACCAGCTGAGCAATGTACCACAATTGGCTTCTTGGTACCACGAATATTTGATAAAAGTACCTATTAAAATTAGATTTAATTAAAATTTTGATAAAAATTTTCAACTAATAATAATAAAAAAAGTCTCGAATTGCAATAAAACTAATTAGAAAATTAATTAATAAATTGAATACCATAGAAGTAAGTCGACATGGTGGCACACCACGGTCTGGCCAATTAATCCATTGATAATGACGTATCTCACGGGTTTTTTCTCGACCATTTTCCTTCCATTGAACCTTCAATAAACAAACTCGCACATTTGTTTCATCTGGTGCCAATGCTCGTACCTAAATTAATTTATATTTCGAATATGCAACAATTAAATTCAAAGATATTCAAATATTAGATTTTAATATTTTAGATAAAATTTAAAGTAAAGAAAGAGAAAGCGAAATGATGGAAACTATTGAATTTGAAACCAAGTGATAAAAAAATGAAAATAAATAATGATTATAACAATTAATAATGCGAAAATTCCAATATAAACTATATATTATACCTTTATTTAGTATGCACTTATCCTTCCTATCATTCATTCCTATTATTTTAAATGTTAATATTAGTATTATTATTATTAATAAAATTCATCAATGAAATCAAGTAAAATCCAATTTTGAATATAAATTTACATTGAATAAACTTTATATTATACTTTATCGAACGTAATATATTCAAAATTTTATTATTAAATTCATCTCTTAAACTTATGCAAATTAGATGTTCATTAATATATTAATCTAATTTATTGTCGTTACCATAATGGTACCACAATGAATTTGCAAATATGATACCGTGATATTTGAAACAGTAATATCACCATATGATGACGTCTGTCCAGCATCATTAGGCCAATATTGTTCACATTTATTTAAACCTTTCTCAATAGTATTCGTCAACATAACGATACTATCACTTTCCTCTTGCACAACCATATGCCAAAAATCAACCACACTATTTGGCATTGGGCCCTAAATGTAACTTTTTTTAAAACATAGTTATAAATATTATAATAATAATAAATAATAATAAATAATAATAATAATAATAATAATAATAATAATAATAATACTAATAAATAATAATAAATAATTTATCTATTTGTTTATTCCAGAATTCATTTCATTCCTTGCATATACACGTGTACGTGTGTGCGTGCGTGTGTGCATGTGCGCGTGTGTGCATGTGTACATGTGTGTATGTGTGCGTGTATGCATCTGTCGTGTGTGCATGTTTGCATGTGTACGTGTGCGCGTGTGTATGTGATTATGAATATGTCTGCGTATGTTTATGTATGCATGTATGTGCATGGAAATTCGAACTAATATAGGTAAAAGGTAATATTGAGTAATGGGCAATAAGGTTATAATAGGTAACATGAAAGGTAATATTGAATAATAGGTAATATCTATATTATGAAGTTGCCATAGCAATTGTAGAAAATTAGATTGAAAATATAAGTAAAGATTAAGCATAGTAATTAACTTTAATTTAATTATTATCTATCATTAATGATATTAATTTCAGCAGTATAATATACATCAAAAACCTTTCTTCTTTTTCTCTTTCTTCTAACCTTGATAGTTATCATAATTAATTGG